AGTATGGTAGTCAGTATCAGCAACAGCCGAATCAGTACGCTGCTCAGGGTTACACGCAGGTCACGTCGGCGACAAGCGGTTACTCGGAAAGCTCAACGACGGCTGCGGCGAATAAGGACAATCTGGGCGTAACGGATCAGGAGTTGCAAGCGCTGCTGTCACAAAAGGACATAGCTACGTCGCTGGCGGAAGACCTGCTGAAGCACTTCGGTTCCGATGATTTGGAAACAGTTGTGAAGGAGGAACCATCAAGCGGTGTCATCAATGACAACGGCACGTTGAGCTCCGGTCCGTTCTCGCCGTCGAATCTCGAGGAGAATGCGGCGGACAAGATAAAGGAGGTGAAACTAGAAAAACCGGAAGAAGTGACTTCGCAGTCGACACAGTGTAAATCAACTACTGATGCTGTGACGACGATCATGACGACGACCGCGACGACGACTGTAACAACGGTGAAATGTGAGACGACGGCGGTGAAATGTGAGACGACGACGTCATCATTATCCTCTAGTACGACGATGACGACGGCAACGAACAAGAGCGAAGCGACTAATATTTCTAAGGCAGAGACGATGATGAATCTGAAACTTGAGTCGTTGTGCGAATCGCAACCGGAACAGGAATTGAGCATTGAAATGGATGCTAGAGCGTTGATCGAGGCGTGCAAAGGTCGAGGTTTGAAAGGCGTGCCGAATTGCTCGATACTGAGCGATCGTTCACCGCCGCCGGCACCGCCGGATCCACCTATTCAACGAATACACTTGACGAAAGAACAGTTGTCGCCGCCTGCCCCCAGTGTCTTTCTGGAGAACAAAAAGGATGTTTTCGGTCCGCAGTTGCAAGAATTTTGTTTAAAACACCCGATTGCTGTCGTACGTGGTCTCGCGGCAGCGCTCAAGCTCGATCTAGGCCTTTTCTCAACTAAGACTCTAGTTGAGGCGAATCCAGATCACGGTATAGAGGTACGCACACAAATGCAGCAAACTAGCGAAGAGAACTGGGATCCGACGCTCAACAAGAAAGTCTGGAACTGCATTAGTCATCGAAGTCATACGACGATTGCAAAGTATGCGCAATATCAGGCATCTAGTTTTCAAGAGAGTCTGAGAGAAGAGAAAGCGCAGGGCGGTGTACACGCTTCCAATCTGTCAGATTCGGACTCAAAAGACAGCACCGGTCAAACGGTTCGACGCAAAAAGAATACTTTTGGTCTAGCCGGCCGACCAGGAACCAAGATGTTACGTTTTGGTACCAATGTAGATCTGTCAGATGAGAGAAAATGGAAGCCACAGCTGCACGAACTAATGAAGTTACCGGCCTTTGCCAGGGTGGTATCGGCTGGTAATATGCTCAGCCATGTGGGTCATGTGATCTTAGGAATGAATACCGTACAGTTGTATATGAAGGTACATTAAAACATATAACGTAATGAAATTGTAGAACGAAACGTTTTACATATATTTGAATGATTTCTGAATGTAATTTAATTTACATCTTTCTCAGGTACCTGGTAGTAGAACACCCGGACATCAAGAGAACAATAATTTTTGTTCTATTAATATCAACATTGGACCGGGCGACTGCGAATGGTTTGCGGTACCAGATGCGTATTGGGGCGTAATATGCTCACTCTGTGAGCGCAACGGCATTAGTTACCTACATGGCAGCTGGTGGCCGAATCTAGAGGAATTATTCGAGGAAAACATCCCAGTGTACAGGTTTCATCAGCGACCAGGTGACCTCGTGTGGGTGAACGCGGGTTGTGTGCACTGGGTACAAGCGGTTGGCTGGTGCAACAATATTGCATGGAACGTTGGCCCACTCACTGCCAGACAGTATCAACTCGCGATCGAGCGTTACGAGTGGAACAAGTTGCAAGCATTCAAATCGATTGTACCGATGGTGCATCTTTCGTGGAACTTGGCGCGTAATATCAAGGTGTCGGATCCTCGATTGTTTGAGCTGATCAAGAATTGTCTTTTGCGAACGATGAGACAGTGTTGCTTAATACTGGAGTTTGTGAAGAGCAAGAATGTGGAAGTGCGCTTCCATGGCCGCGGCAAGAACGAGGCTTCACACTATTGTGGCCAGTGCGAGGTATGTTTTCTTTTTTACGCTAATGATCTTGAAAATTAGCGTGTTGTCTAGATTTTTCTTTTTTTTTCTTTTCGGGATTCTAAAAAGAAATTTTAATTTATTTAAAGATCTTATCCGATTATTCATCACTATTTCAGATTGTGACGTCAAAAGTGAGAAAATACATAAAAAAATTCTTGCAGAATATATTAATTAAAAATTGTTTCAATAAAATGACACAATTGATAGAATTTATTCATGTGCCAAAAAAATTCGTCTTTTATTTTATTAATAAATAATCATGTATCTGGAAATGAATTAAGCATATGTGTATATATATACATATGTATAAATGAAATTCACATTATGATAACTGTTAAATTAATAATATGTAGAAATAAATATGATTTAATTTCTTTCGAAACAAGATAGTAGTTTTTAGTACATTTTATAAGTTTATTCTATCTATTAACTATAAATATTGTTTTATTAAAAAATATGTTTATTCCAATATATATATATAATTTGCAAGAATTTTTATTGTGTTTTCTCTCTTCTGATAATACAATATGAAATAATAGTGGTGACTGAACAGGAGCCTTAAACAAGATTCTGTACAACTACAATTATATATATATATATATAGCAAATTAATATATAAAATTCTATATATTAATTCGACATTTTAGTCATTCCTCTTTTTAAAATTATCTTATTCAACCGCACATAATTTGTGCTTAATATATATTTTAATTTTTTTTATATATTATATTATTTTCTACTTACATTTTTATATTTGCTTCTTTTAAGAAATTTATTGTGGATTAAAAAGAAATGTTCGACTTTTTTGCAGATCGAGGTGTTCAATATCCTGTTTATCCGTGAACAGGAGAAGCGTCACGTAGTACATTGCATAGATTGTGCGCGTAAGCAATCTCCTTCATTAGAGGGATTTGTCTGTCTGGAGGAGTATCGTATGCGTGACTTGATGGACGTTTATGACGGATTCACCTTGTATACGCCGTTGGTCACCCCCACTAGCACAACTACCACTACTTCCTCGTCATCGTCATCGACAGTATCGACGACATTACAGACACAAACTGGCCAGTCCTCCTGAGATTACATGCAACATATATATTTGGACTTCCCGAGTACATTACAGCAATAGTGATCACTACCATCCGGGAAATGCGAATTCTTTCCGGATGGTGGCGATCACTACTACTAGTGTTAGTCCTTTTGTCAATGCGGGACGAGAAGACATTTCGTACGATAAGCATTATCCATGTACCTGAGAGCTACGCGAAAAGAGGCGGGACCGGCTCCTTGAGGGCTCGTAGGCGACCGTCCGCAAATATATATCGCATAAGATGAGGTAAAAGCATAACAATAATTTCTCTCGAAACATACATATATATGTATCGACTTTAGGGTAAAATATTTTAAGTAAAAAATATTAGATCGATGCATTTTCTACTGTGCTTTGAGTCTAAGAGAGAATGTATGCTCTGTAAGATTTTTTTTTTCCTCTAATAACAATATTTTTAGAGACAATTAATTTGTTATGCTTTACTTCATTCTGTTATATGTATGCAAAGCTGTGTATATATTAACGACATATATCTAAATCAAGTATTGATATAATTTCCTCTAAAAAACGTGAAGTTGACATATTGACGAAGAAACTGTGCAACAAAGAATCATTATACTTCTCTAAACAACCAGTTGATTAAAGAAAAGAGTATATATACTGATAGCTCTTTGTCGCACATTTTTTCTGTCAACATATCAACTGCCAGAGGTTATATTTGATGTGATGTCGTTAATGTGTACATTATATATATATATATATACTTATGTATATTTTTATCTCAATTTGTGTACGGCAGCCTTTTTAGTATGCGCTTTAATCTGCACGATCATTGGAATTCGCTATTAGGAACGTTATTATCACGACAGAGCTTCGTGAGCCGATCCCAAGGAAAGAAGGACTAAAAGGAAGGGGCAGTCTTTTCAGTGGACACGAAGACCGATTCGTGCTACTCGCTCGCTCGCTCGTTAGTTAGCCCTGTTTGTACAAATCTAACTTGCTTATCTGTAAAAAAATATCACCGTCGGTCGCTAGATTATTCCCTGTAAATATTCGACGGCGACCACGATCTTTTTTTATATAGCTCTCGGGTATTGGCTAGAGAAGACTGTCTCTGATTATTAAAGGACGTAATAGCGTAATAATCGGCCCGCGACATTGCCATGCGACTTTTAAGCGCGCACTGGACATTTCTTTTACCGGATTCGGCCTGGTTTCTCTCATCATTGTTTATTTATTATTGTAATTAACGATCTTTGTAATAGTGATTAAAAATATCTAAATTTAAATATTAAGCGTCGTGAATTACGCGAGCAGCGTCGTGAAAATCTAAATTTCGTGTTTTGTTCTTCGTCCTCTTCGCGATTAGTCCGGGGTGTAAGACTATGCATAATATCATAGACATAGATAGGCCGAGCATAACACGCGAGACCTGGCTCACGTGCGAAAGAAAGAGAATCCAACTTAGGTCTCTCTTCTCTCTTTAATAGACGGAGAACCTGTCTCGTATGTGGAATCACCGTTGATTCCGCAAACCATGCTGGTGGCACATGGTATGTTCGGTCTATGTATTATGCCTATATATAATATGTTCTCACTGCCACTTACAAAATCGTTGAGATAAAGTGAGAGATTCACCCTTTATCATATGTATTAAGGAGGTTGCCTATCGTTAAATCATTGTTGCAAAAAAATAAGTATAAAGGCATATTAGTGCCGTGCGTGGTACTGCTCAAATCATTTGTACATTTTTTTTAATGCAAATTAACTTTGAGATCAGGACTAAAAAAAAAGAAATTAGTAAGAATGTCTCTAGAGTGTAGCATGATCTCTACTGCCAGCCATGCATGTTATTTCCTGTTAAATGAAATGATCAATTATTAAAATTTAAGTGTTGCATGAAATTAAAGTCGCGAGTGCGAGCATAAGGGCATAAGGTTTAATACCGAGGACGCGATTATCGATTATTGTCCAAATTACAAACATAGAAATTAAAATTAAAGTAGAAGTAAAGGGGTCTAACAAAACGAACTAGAACAGAAATACAACAGATATAAGAGACCTACACTGTTAAAAAGTTTCTGAAATTTAATGTAGGGGAGAGTGGTCTAAATCGGACCGTGTTCCAAATAGGACCTTTTTAATTTAAATGAATACAGTTAAGCAGATTTGCGTACTATTTATAATGTAAAGTCCTTATAAGACACCGAACATGCGATAGCAGTTTGACAGTTCTCTGTCATAACATTCATAAAATAGAGGCAAATATGTATTTTCAGTCATCTTGCGAAAATTTTTTTAAAAAAGAAAATCCTTGTAAATCATTGTTTAAAAGGTGTTAAAAATTTGGAAAGTAATTAATTTAAGATAATTAAAGAATGTAGAATTCAAAAATATCAAGCATTTCGTGATCACTTTTGCG